GGGGGCTGCAGCCTTGGGGAGGGGGTTTCTTTCCCGGGTCCTGGGCACTCACGACTCCTTGTAGTAGACGATGAAGCTGAGCAGGTCGCGGTACTCAGGGGGGCGGTACCGCTCCCACTGCAGGAAGATGCGGTCGGACTCAGTGATGTTGGAGACGAAGCGCAGCCGCTGGGTCTTGCCTACGACGATAGAGGCAGGCAGCTCAGGGTTGGCGACCATGAGCATGGAGATCTACCTTCCCCCCCCAGCCCTGGGCTGCCCTGAGACTTACCCAGCTCGCTGCATCTACCACCCAGGTCAGAATGGTAGGGGGAGACCTCCCTGGACCTACCAGAGTGGGGCAGTATTATTGTCCCTTTTGCATGCATTGGTGTGTGTGTGTAGACACAGGTATGTGCTTGTGTATGGGTGGGTGTGGGTGCATGCTGTCTGAGTGCACTGTGTGTGTGGGTGTGGGTGTACAAGTGTGCAGGCTTGTGTGTGTATGCCTGGGTGCATGCTGTCTGTATGAATGCACTGTGTGTGTATGCGTGTGCATGGGTACATGCTGCCTGTGTGAGTGTGCTGTGGGTATGTACAAGTGTGGGTGCTTCTGTGTGTGTGCATGGGTGCATGCTGTCTGTGTGAGTGTACTGTGTGTGTACAAGTGTGTGTGCAGGGGGTGGGCACTGGTGGTGCTGATGGCAGAAGGGATGGAAAGGACCATGGCAGGAGGGCACTGGATGTCAACCCCCCATCCCAGCTGGGTAAGGGCAGGGGCACTCACAGCTGGCGCGGTCCCCATTGGTGCGGGGGTTGATCTCAGCCTTGTTCTGCCGACCCTTAGTGCCTGTGACCTCCTCCATGCGGTAGATCTCGGCCAGGCAGAGCTTGGGGTTGAAGGCGAAGTACATCTTGCCCACGGGGATGGAGAGCATGTGGTGGCCCCAGTCCCACAACTGCTGCAGGTTCTGGTTGTCCAGCACGTACAGGGTGTAATTCCTGCAGCCGGGGGGAGGGGGGGCAGGATCAGATGGGGTCCCCAGGGAGCAGGTCTCACACGCACAAGAGTATCCACAGAAGCACAAACATTTGTGCAACAGAGCATGCACACACAGTGTGCTCACACACACAGAGTGCACTCATACCAGTATCATGCACCCAGGCATGCAGGAACATGCACACATGTGCACACAGTGCATTCACATGCGTGGAGCATTCACGTACACAGAAGCAAATGCACACTGCATGCACAGCATGCACCCAGGCACATGTATACACAGACACAGAAGTGCACACATTTGTACACACACGCAGTGTACTCACACAGACCGCACGTACCCAGGCACATGCGCACACACAGAAAAGCACACACAATTGTATATACATACAGTGCACTCACACAGACAACATGCACACACACAGAAGCACACCCACTTGCACACACACACAGTGTACTCATACCCAGGCACACGCGCAGAAGCACACACACTTGTATACTCACACACACACTGCACTCAGCATGCATCCACACATAGAAGCACACATATTCATATACACATACACGCCAATGCATACAAAAGGGACAATCATACCATACACACACCCTAGCAGCGTGCACATATGCACGCACACAAGTAATGCATACACACAGACAACACACACACCTTGCAGTGTGCTCACATACGGAGGCAGAGATGTGGGTGGTCACCCCCACACATTTGCACACAAAACCCTTTCACACATGCGCATACAGATGGCACGTGTCCCAGTGTCTTGCACACCCACACCAGGGCACCCTCTCCTGCAGCCTCCCACCCCCTCCCTGCTACCCCTGCCCAGGAGCAGATCCCTGGGCCCCGGGCACAGCTGTGCTCTCCCACCCAACAGGCCTGATGCTTAGAGGAAGGCACCAACCCCACCAGAGCCCTGCAGCCCCCAACCAGCTGGGGAGGGGGAGGAGGGGGCCTCTCACCCATCCACCATGGAGTCCCCGCGGATGAGCTTGAGGTTCTTGAAGAAGGACAAGGAGACGAGGGCGAAGGAGTGCTTGATCTTCAGGAAGCCCGTGATGGTCTCGATGAGCCCCAGGCTGCTCTGCAGCTCGGAGGCCAGGTTGTCTGGGCACGGAGGAGGCAAGAGCCCATCAGGGGGGTGCAGGGGAGGGGGGCAGGACTCCTGGGTTCCATCCCACCCTCATCCCAAGCATGCTGAGACTCAGCGAACTTGTCCACCCACGGGCATCACTGCTGAGGGGCAAGACTCAGCTTCCCCTCACCACCCCCCTGCCACCCCTTCCAACCCTGGCAGGCTGGAGACATGGGGGGATGGGGTGCAGTGTGGGGTGGTGGCAGAGAGCAGGGCAGGGGGCAGGGAGCACTCACAGCCCCGGCGGATGTTGAGGATGAGGCTGCCCTCAAGGAGGGTGCAGCCTGCCAGCTCCTGTGCCGCCCGCGTGGAGTCGATGGTCTTGGTGCCCACCTTGCACTCCTTGGGGCACAGCCCCTCGCACCTGTGGCAGAAGATGCTGCGGGGGAAGGCGAGGGTAGGGAGTCACAGACACAGACTCCACTGGACTCCCCTGCCCCAGCCAGGGGTGCAGGGCACAGGGCCGGCATGGGGCACCAGATCCATGCCCTAATTCCCTGCAGAGATGCTTGGAGCCTAGGGGCTGGGAGGGGCCCTGGATGTAACCCCCCAGGGTGCAGCAGGAAGCGTCTGGATTTGGTGGAGGGGGGGAATCTGGATTTGGCTCTGGGGTTAGATGTATGGGGGTGGTGTTTGGTGGGTGCTGACCTGCTCTCGTTGCGGCTGTAGCCAGGCGGGCACTCGGAGAGGCACTGGTGCTGGTGGATCACGAACTTGGAGGCGTCACGCGGGTTCTCGGAGACCTTGCGCAGGCTGGCGCAGTACTCAGCCGTCACACAGCGCCAGCCCTCGTACTGGTAGGTGCGGGCCGGGCAGGCGGGCAGGCAGCGTCCCTGGAAGCGGAAGTGGCGGCAGGCCACGCAGGCCCCGCTGTCCCGCGCCCGGCTGCAGCCCCCCAGGCACTCCTCATGGCAGCACTCCCCAGCCACGGTGCAGGCCCCGCCGGCCCCGCACGGGCACACTAGAGGCAACAAGAGAGCAAGAATTAATCCCTAAGAGCTCAGCCTCTTTGCTCTCCCCAGTGACCTGCTGCCTGAGTCTGCTGAGAGCCTGAAACAAGAGCTTTGCTGCACTCCCAGCCTGGAAGATTGTGGGGGTCTGTGTCCTGAAACGGCAGGGATCTGAGGGATGGGAAAGGGGAGAAAGAGAGAGCAGGGTAGGAAGGGCAGGTGTGGAGGGATGGATAGAGGGAGGGGAGGCAGGGATGGAGGGATTGCCCTGTGTGTATATGGAGGCGGCAGCTGATAAGGATCTGTGTTGACAGTGTATACCCCATGGCAGGCTGTCTGTTTACAGAAAACCAGCTGCAACCCGGGCTGTATTTACCCCTCCGCTGGGCAAACACGGCAGCAGGGCCCTGGCGGATACACAACGGGTCTGATTACACCCGCCAGCTGCAGGGAGCCTTGGCCCCAGCCTCTGCTGCCTCTCCAGGGGGCTGGGAGAGAAACCCAGACAGGGCTGGGATGGAGGAACCCAGACCTCAGGGCACCCCAAGGCTGTACCTCTGCACCCCCCCACACACACACAAACACACAGTGCACACACATGTGCTGTCTCCCAGGGACCCCCCCACTCTCCTCTCTCTCTGCGTTAAGCTCCTTTTGGCGATGGTTACGTCGAATTGTCACCTCCTGCTGGGACGTGCCCAGGAGAGGAGAGGCCTCAGTGACCCCGTGGGTCCCTAGGACAGTTTGTAGCTCCCGTCTCTGGGCGCTTGTATACGGTCTTGATTTTGTCTAGATAAATATATTCTTTGTGGTTTTTTGTCTCTCCATAATGATCTTTTGTAGAAACACGCTGATGCCAGCTCTGGACCTCAGAGCTGCCCAGCCCACAAGCATCTCCTCCACCTGCCCCAGTGGTTTTCCCTCTTTGCATCTGTACCCAGTCTCCACAGGCACCGGGTGCCCGACATGATAGCAAACAAACTTGCCACTTGCAAAGAATAGATCCTCTGGAGCCCAAACTAAACCTCTCCGGGTGCACAGGGCCGAGGGCACTAGCAGGTTCCTCTTCTCCCTACGAGGGGCAGGACAGCAGAAGAGGTGGCCAGAAAGGCTGAGCCCCTCATGGGTTTTAAACATGCTTCTCTCCATAGGGAAACACTTTCTAACACCCCTGGTAGAGGACAGGGCTTCATACTTGTCTAACTGGATTTGCTCCATCGCCCCCAGTGCAGGAACCAACTGCTTCTTTACCACCTCAGTACAATCCCAATTGCAAACTCAGTTAGACCAGTTTAAAGCCCCATTCTCTACTAAGAGCATTAGAAAGTATTTCCGTATGGAGAGAAGCACATTTATACTGGGCTCACAGCATCCCCTCCTTCCCCCGGCTGGAAAGGACATTCCCCCTTGAATTATTATTTGGGATGGACTGGGTGATACCTTGGCCCCACTAAAATCAATGCCACAGCCCCACAGGCTGATAGTCAATCAGGGCTTTTCTTTGTAGCGGTCTGTACCAGTGCACGCTGCATTTATTAGCATTAAATGATATTGCCTTCACGTATTGGGCTGCACTATGGCAGAGCCCAGAGACCCCAGTCGGGGTCCTGATTCTGAGTGCAGATACAGGGCCTGATTCTGGGCTGCTCCAACCTTTGGGCAGAAAAGGGCCTTGGCATCACCCAACTTCTCACCCTAGCCCAGGAGAGCTGCCAGTCCACGACGGTGCCCCGGGCAGCACATAGCAGAATCGCGTGATCCGTGACGCACGTACACGCCTCAGACCACCTCACCCATGAGTCCCGCTTTGCTGGGCCTGTTTCTAACAGCATGGCTGCAGAAGTGCAGCCACCTCTGGGGTGGCTCATCTCCCCTCTGCAGGCTTGTTAAACCATTGGAAAGGGTTTAGAAAAGCTTAATATAAGCAGCACCAGAGCGCGTCAAACCCATGGTCCATCTAGCTTGGGATCCTGTCTCCAACAGAGCCCCTTGGCCCATCCAATAGGCCCGTCTCCGACAGCAGCAGGACTGGAAGCAATACAGAGACTGCGCTGACTCAGATCTCCCTCCATCCCCTCTTCAATACCCTCTCTGGCCCCCATTGTGGGGTTAGAAATGCCCGAGGGAATGTCTCCAACCATTAAAAACCAAGCTAGGATTTCCCCTGGCTGCAACGCACCCCCCTGTCTTCGGGGTGCTGTGTTTTCCCATGATACAGTGCCACGCCCCAAGGGAAAACACAGCCTTAGCCCCTCTCTACAGCCCCCGTGCTTTCCCTCTCCTTCGCCCGGGTCTCCCCTCCCCAGTCAACCTTGCTCAACTTGCAATGCCCACCTGGGCCCACCCTGCTCAGCTTACAATGCCCGCCCGGTGCCCAGCTCCTCACCCCTCTGGCAGTAACTGGAGGTCCAGCAGCGATAGTCCAGCTGCCCGTGGACACTGGTCTGGGCGCAGGGCTTCTCCACGTCCAGGATGCCAGGGCAGACATCGGCACACTCCTCGGCCAGCTTGTTCCCCACAATGTAGTTGTTCTCCAGGGCTGCCTCAGGCAGCAGCAGCCCCCAGTCCAGGGTGGAGAGGTGGCAGAGCTCCTGGTTGCGCTCAATGCGCACGGAGCCACGCAGCACGTGGGTGAGGCTGTGGAGGCCGATGTCGCGCAGGTGCGGCATCTCGAAGATGACCAGGGCGTAGTTGAAGAAAAGGCTGGTACCGCGGATGACTGAGAGGTTGGGGAAGAGGTCACGCAGACTCTCCAGCCCATAGACGCGGAAAAGCAGCAGGTACTCGGTGACCATGACCAGGCGAGGGAAGCTCAGGCCCCGGAAGTCCTCGGCACCCGTGGTGAACATGAGCAGGATCTGCAGGTTGCCCTCCACGATGGTGCAGTTCTCCAGCTTCCGCAGCTGTGAGGCGTCGTTCCGAATGTCCATGCTGCTGCAGACTGCGAGAAACAGGGGGTGAGGGCCTGGGACACCCTGCCACTGATGAGCTGGGCAGCCTTGGCCAAGTCCCTTAGCTCAGAACAGAAGAATTGCCAGGGACTGAGTCAGACCGCAGGTCCACCTCACCCAGTCTCCTGTTTCACACCAAGGCAGAGAAGTCACAGAGTTGTGGGGTTGGCAAGGACCTCCCGGGGTCACATCTAGTCCAACCTCTGCTTGAGGCAGGATCAGACCTGCTCTTCATAAGTGAACAAGAGCTGACCATGGTCTTCTCCCATTTGCAGCCTCCAGCACTAGAAAGCTAAAAGGGCAAATGCCTCCAGGGCCAGGGGCTACTCAGCCACCCTGGGGGTCAGACACAGCCTAGGATTGGACCCTGCCAGGGTCATCCCAAAGCTGTTTCATGGAGAAGACAGAAGCTGCCAATAACCAGGGCATCTGACACTGAAAAAAATCAGCTCTCCAAGACTCCCCAAAACATCATTTTGTGGATGGAAAAGCTTTCGCTGGACCCCTTCCCAGCCACAGCCTGGATATCACCCCCAAAGCTGCCTTGCATGCACCCCTGCCTCCCAACACTGCCAGACCCCATCTGGCAGCCCCTGCTGGCACTTCCTGGCCCCCGTCCGGCTCATGTGGCCTCTGTTTACACAGGGACTCTCATCGCCTCCCACGGCCATGCCAGTGTCGCAACATCGGCGTGCTTGCGAAGCCGGCACTGTGCACAAAAACAGAGTGTTCCTGGCAGCTTCCTTGGCACATTGTCCCAGGGTTTTAGACACCGATGTCACAAGGACCCAGGAGTGCAAAGCCTGCCCGAAACTGCAGCCCCTGTGGGCATGCGTGGAAAGGAAACATGCGCCTTGCTTTCGTCTTTGGGGTACATTGCTGCTCTGCCGGCCAGCGCACTGGGCTAGGGGACCCCGGTGGGATCCAGCTCCGTGCCAGGTGCTGACCCATGCAGCGTGCAGACCGGTGCGGAGGCTGGCAGAGATGCTGGTACATCATGCTGCCATTCCCCAGCTAGCCTCAGGACAGACAGCAGCCAGGACTGCATGCCCAGGGGCCACGCAGAGCACTGCACTATGGGATAGCTGAGCCTCCAGGGCCCTCACTAGCTGCAAAAGCTCCAGGAGGGGTAATTTTAAAGGTACTTTCTTTCCTCTGACGAGCCCTGGCAGAGCTGGGGCGCTAGGTCCTGATGCATGTGGGTACGGGGTAGAAGAGATACCAGGCCACACCCCACCCAGGGCAACCCCCAGCCTGAGCTGCCTGCAGCGCCCAGCTCCCAGGGCAGCCTCTTACCCAGAGGGGAATTTACTGTAAACACCAGGAATCAACATGATGAACTTGGCTTTGAGCCCAAACATACTGCAGGCTGAGGCTGGGGGTGGGCTCTGCCAGCCCCGCACGGACCGGGGAGAGGTCAGTGGGGACAGACGGGGGTCATGGGGTCCCGGTTGTACCATGCACCTGGGAGGGGAGGGGAGGAAGCAAGTTCTCTAGGGGTGCGTGGGGGGCTCAGGGGGGCTCACCTGGCATCAGCCTAAGAAACTAGATTTTCCTCTGCATTTCCCTATCCTGCCCCCGACCCAGGTGCCACCCCTGGCAGGGGAAACACCATGTATCTGGGTCCACGAAGGCAGTTTTCCTTAAGCGTTCCCAGGGAAAACTGTTCTTCTGGTGTGTTTTAGTACTCACCGAGATGTTGGGGCTTAAAGCCCACTTTATGGAAATGGGAGGCTGTTCCCTAGCTTGCTCCTGCAGCCATATGGCTGAGGGCAGGCGAAACTTGAGGGCATCTGAACCCCAAGCCTCCAGGCTTGGGCCTGCACATAGGATGCCTGGCAAAGGATTTGGAAACATCTGAAGCCCCTGGTGGGGGTGGAGGATGTTTGTTGGTTGTAGGGTCACTTATGGTTCTGGACTGACCCAAGGATTTGGACTTGATTTGGCTTGGAACAAGAATTTCTTTTTTTATTTTAAAGAAAATGCCATCCCCACCAGCCCCTAGAGCAAGCTACATGCACCACCCCAGACCTTCCTACATGCCTGTAGCCCCAAGATCCCTTGCACTTGAGCCTGGCTTGGCCCTGGGGTGCAGCGGGGTGGGCACAGCTGCCCTGGCACCCAAGTTGGGCTCTCTGTAGGGATGCAGAGCCCAGGACCCAGTCAGGGGTGCATGGCATCACCTGATCCCCTTTGCCGTAGTTGTGGTACCTGCTGCCCCCGTCCCTGCCTTTCGGGCACAGCGCCAGCCACAGCAGTGGGCACCATGGCAGCACCTGCCACAGCAGGTCGTTTTCCCAGCGCCCGGCGCTGTTGGGAGCAAACAGGCCGCGGCTGGGCGATTACTGCCATCACTCATTAACCATGCCGGCCCCGGGGCTAGGTCTGCGCCTGGCCTCCTCCATGCACCGCAGCCAACGCGCGATCCCCCTGCAGGGTCCATTAAGCCCCATCAGGGGTCAGATCCTGCTCTTGTTTGCACGGCCCTGACTCTGGAGTGGATCCGGGGGCCTGGCTACTCGTGGGGCCACCCCCGGCTCTCATGACCCCAATGGGGAAACTGAGGCACGGGGAAGGCAAGGCTACCCAGGCCCCTAACTGCAGCGCTGGGACTCCCAATGGCAAACACTCATCCATGTTGCTGGCCCATCTTCCTGGCACCCTGAAACACCCCTCCTGGCTCTCTCCTCCGATCCCCACCAGCTTGGTCCTGGCTGCGTGGCCGCCTTCGATCCCGGTGCCGTTGACATCATCCCCCCTGCTTCTGCTTAGCTACAATTTTCCGCTTTCCCATCTCTTTCCACTGCTCCCTGCCCCCCTGAATTATTTATCTGTCTCCACCTCACTCTCCCTGCTGCCATTGCATCCTTCCCAGCACAGCCCAAGGGCCAGTGAATTGCAGCATCTCCCCCCTGCCCCCCAACCCATCTCATCTCCTTTCACTGCAAGGTGTTGGGGTCCCTGGGAATTATCCAGCCAGGCCCAGGCACCAGGTCCTGGAGCAGCCTGGGCTTCGTTACCTGAGGCCTATTTGCATGCGAACGAGAGCAGATTGGGGTGGGGAGGTAGGGAGGAGACAGCTTTGGGTTCTGGAAAACTCATGATGCTGCAGGCTCATGGCACCGTGTAGCTCAGGTAGAAATAATCTGGACTCCAGGTTCAAATCCCCACCCCACACACACACACAGACCCCAGGCACAGACAGCCCCCCCGAGAGCCAACAGGCTTAAATGACAAGGGAAAGGAAGCTATTGCCCCCCTACCAGGGACAAGGCAACTGAGGCACAGGGAAGCAAAGAGACTTCCCCCAGGTCCTGGTGGGTGCTGGTGGCAGAGCTTCAGAGCCCCCCAGTGCACTTGGTGCCGCACGTACCCGACCTCAAGGCAGCCCCTTCTCCAGGACCTCAGTGGCCGGAGGGGAAACGGAGACCCAGAGAGCAACCCGAGGGTACCCAGAAGAGCGGGGAAGGGAACCCACATCTCCGGCCCTTGCCACCTCCAGCATCCCAGGGACATCTCCCCTCTCCTCCCTCACCCAGGGGCTGCACAGAGAGACCCCCTTAAGCCCCATCTGTCCATCCAGAGACCCCAGGCTGCAACCCCAAGCTGGCGGGGGGGGACTTACTTTCAGAGGTGGCCTGAGCAGGTGCCAGTGGGAGGAGGCTGAGGACCAGCAGGGCTCCCCAGAGACGCAGAGCACGGGGGTGCTGTGTGGTCCCCATGGCCCACAGACGCCCCCACGGCTCGAGGCTGCAACGCAGACGCCCGTCCTGGGCAGGGCACGGGGGTCCCTCGCTGCCCCCTCCCCTGGTCCTGGCGTGCAGGTGTGTTCCCCCGGGCTCTCCAGCACACCTGAGCGTGGGAAGGCGCTACCCGCACCAGCCCCAGATGCAGCGGGGTGGAGCCAGGGCTGGGCTCCCACCTGCTCTGGATGGGGGTGGGCAGGGGGGGTGCCAGGCGCGAGCCAGGCACGAGAGGCTGGGGCTGGGCTCCCAGCACTTGTGTTTGCAAATGTTACACACAAAATATTTAGCCTGACAACTTGAGCCGGGCTGGGTACAGCTGGGGGGGGGGCTTGTTTGGGAAATAACAAGTCAGGAAGGGAAGTGGCAAGGCCACAGCCCTGGGGACAGGCCTCCAAGCTCGGCCATGGGAAACTCCCTCAGGCACAGGGTAGCTGGGGTAGAGGGACGTGGAAGCAGGGGGGATGATCAGGACACCTGGGTTCTCCCTACCCTGCAACCTCGCCCCTGCCAGCCTCCATACCTCGGTTTCCCCCTCCTTGCTCCAGGGAGGATGCCAGGCAGCGGGGCTGCTGGCTGGTGCAGAGACAAGACATGGCCACAATGGTGGTGAAGCGGCTGCTGGAAGTCCAGGGGCTTTTTTCCATTGCAACACACTGGGCAGGGGGGCGGGGGCAGCTTCTTTGCTCAATCATCTTGCACATGAAAAGAGCAGACCAGGGCTCCCAGGCCAAGGCTGAACCCCAAGTGTCTGGGAGCTGAGGCCATGGAGTGTCTCACCAGCCCCATGCACTGGACCCAGATCCCAGGGGATCCTGGGCAGCAATGGTGACCTTGAACCATAGCCCACACTTCCTGCATGCACACGCGCCCCCTCCCCAGCTGCCCCCAGACACTCATGTCACGTCCTCCGACACCACCAGTTCAGTTCTAGGATCCCTCCTGGGACCCCCTCCCAGGGGCTGGGGGCAGCTACTGATCGAGCACCCGCTGCAGGAATAAACTGCAGTTGCTTCGGTGGCTCCGTCTGCCCCCCAGAGCCACATCGATGCCTCCCCAGGCCAGGGGGTCGCAGCATGGACATCTCCACAGCCAGCTTCCCCCCACCGGAAAGTCCCCAGCAGGTCCAGCCACCCCTGCAGGCCCCCAGTGGCCCCAGGGCAGAAGGGAAGGGAGGATGGGAAAACAAGGGGGCAGAAAGAGACCCTTGTGATGGAGCAGGGCCCTCCAGTGCCAGGTCCGTGCGCAGCTGCAAGGAGACAACCAGGGAAA